GGGCCGATAAATGCTACGGTACCTGCACTCCGCCTGGTAAATGAGCTCATTAATCCGGTTGCTTCATTTTTCAAAATGCTGTGCCTCTGCGGGCTGTGTCCAGGCTCAGGGTAACCTGTCCAAAGCCAACCCCGGTCTGGAACCGGCCAGGCCTGCCCAGCTGGAGGGGACCAGAGCAAGTGGCCTTGCGCGGGCTCTGCCAGGGCCCCAGGCTGCAGAGCAGACAGGCCGACAAAGGACAGGCCTGTGGGGGCCCCGTGGGAGCACTCGGGCGACGAGGGCAGACCCCAGGGGAAGGAAGCCCTTTCACCAGCCGCACAGGAGCCGTCCCCACACAACAATGAATACCCCATCACTGTTTTGCCTTTAATCACGCTTTTAAACACTTAACATATGGACATCTGTTCCTTGATGTCTCGTCTTTGTTCATCTGTCATCCTCAAAATGAAAGTCCAGAACCTTCCGCACTAATTCTAAAGTCCGGCTGAACATTTAGTAATGAACAAAGCTGAAAACACAAAAGAAAAAAGACGGTTTTAAAAAATCTCGTGTACTTTCACTCACAAATCAGAACAGGACTCCATCTCCAGCCACAGCTTTCTCGGCACCGCCGACCCTCAAAGTCCTGACATCTGCTCTCTAGGCTCTCCTCAGCTCAGGCACCAAGACACAGAACCTGATTCGCCTCTCCTGCCCGCTCACAAGGCACTTGCAGCCCCAGGCCATTGTGCCGTGAGCCCCCAGGGCCTGCACCCCGGCTCCGGTGGAGAAAGCAGGCCTGCCAAAAAGCAGCAGAGGACAAACCTGTTTGAATTTTCCTCTGATCTTGTCTAAGTCTTCATGAAGTTTATCATAAGTAGGGTCATCATAAGGGAATTTCTGAATCATCCCAATCAACGATTCTAAGACCTTCATCTTTTTGCTGTAAAGCACAGAAATAAAGACTTTTAGTCCTATGTACACAACAGGCTCAGCTTATGAAACAACCGTGCCGATCACTTACTTAATAGCAACGGGCATGCTAAGCATGTCTGCGTTCAGAAGCTGGATGACTCACTTTCTCGTTACACTAAATAATATTTATTTACCTAGCAACGTGCTCATGCCCACACCCAACGCCTCGCCATCAGGTGTACGGAGCTTCAATTTGCCCTGTGGGCGGGCAGCGCCGGGGCTGCGGGCCCGGAGGCCCATATCCGGGGGCACTGCTACCGGCACTCACTGGGGCACACGAAGAGGATGGGGAGAGAGATACACAGCCCTCTGCTGAAGGGGCTTCCACGAGCCCTGAGCCTATCAAAGAAAGCAGCACCCATTAATCCTCCCATTCATAGCGAACGGCCCTCTCCTCAAGGGCTGGTGGTCTACGCAGGAGGCCCACCCCCCGTCTAGACCCTAAGCCCTCCAAGCATGTCAGGGCCACTGTCCTTCCCCTCCTTCAATCACAGGGTAACAGCTCAAGGTCACCAAGCGCATACCAGGTGCCAGGCGTTGTGCTAAGTGCCAGCTGTAGTTTCACCCTAAATCTTGCAACGACCTCATGGGGTTGGTAACAAGCAAGGGGCACTCTGGTGAGCAGGCACCCCAGAGCTGACGTCCTCAGACGTGATCACCCCCAAGAGAGCCAGTAGACTCTTCCATGGAGGTCCAAAGGGAGGGTCCGAGGCTTTGCTGGCCACGCGGGCTCCACCCAACTCCAGAACTGCACTGCCCAACAGCAGCAGCCACGTCTGCGTGTCCCACTTGCCCAGTGGGCAGTAGACGGGACGTGGGCTAAGTGTGGTGGTTCCCCAGCCCCTGTGGCAGATGAGGAACCCAGGGCCCAAAGAGGTGAAATGCCTGGGCCAAGACTACACAGCCGGGAACTATCAAGCCAGGCCTGGGGGTGGCCCCGTGTCTCTCAGCCTGCCCTCCTGTCGGCTTGGCTGCTGGCAAGGAAAGGCGTGGTCTTGAGAAATAGGCGTGCAAAAAATACACAAAGCCTCCATCCGGTGACGTCCACCCAAGACAGGCCAGTGTCTGCACTTGGGGCCCTGCCTTGCCAGGACGCCCAGGGTGAGGTCAGGCCACCCACATCCAAGGCTTTAAGGCAGCCATCCCTATAGTCAGGGCAGCAACTTGGCTGGCTGGCCTGGAGAAGGGCAGCCAGGCACACAGGCAGTGGACGTCTGCGGTGATCACGATCTTTGTTCAAAAGGAAAGCACACATGCGCACACACAGCATATGTTTTGCAATAAAAGACCCAGGGGCTGGATCTCAGCTCTGTAGCTTGCAGACGTGTGGCTTCACTACACGAGCCCCAATCTTCTCTGTAAAACACGGACAGTCGTGTCCAGGAGAACAGAACCGGGAGGAACAGGGTGTCTCCCCACCCATTACCCTTAGTACTGTGGCACTGCCCAGAACAGAACTGGGTGTGTATGAGGTACACAAAGTTCTTGGAAAGTATCATCACCTACCCCAGTCAGGATAACCACCCTCACCAACCCATGCACCGCCAGGTGAGGACAGAGGCCCCCCAGTGCCAGCGGCGGTCCTCCGGGTGGGGGCCATGGCCGTACCTCCTTCCTCCTTGGTCTTCACACCGGCACCAGTGCTCCCTCCCAGTGCTGACGGCCCCCCGAGACCACCCCTCTCAGGTCTGGCTTGTGTGGAGTGACCCCACCCCAGCTCCAGGACAGGCACTAATGGGCTCAGACCAACAGCACTCCCAGCCCCACCTGGGGGTGGAGGGTCAAAGACAGCAGGGTCAAGGGTGAATGAGGAATCTAACAGTGCCAATGAAACACACACAGACACCCTCCCGCGCCTCTGGAATGGGCTGCTCCCCTGCTCTTCAGGACTCGCAGGGACACGGGGCAGGGGCTGAGCACAGGGCCAGGCCCACGGGAGGGCAGGCAGAAGCTGCAGCTCTCCGGACGAGTTGTGGATCAAGCCTCTCCTGAAGTGAGGGTCCCTTCTGTCCTAGAGCCACTCACTTCCCTTTACTGTTGAAGTCAGTTTGGTATGGGCTTCCTGTCATTTGGTTTTCAAAGATTCTTGACTGTAACAGTGTCTGAGTGTTTTCTGTCTTTCCTAGGTTTCATGTGCATCTCCAATGTAAACAGTGGGGGCTGAGCCCTGCAGGGTGGGCCTTGCTGGCAAACCCTCTCAGCCCCTGTACAGAGCCAGGGCAGCAGCCTTCTGGGGCCGGAGACCAGCGGGGTCCTGCGCCGTGACACCAGCATCCTTCTGGGCTGTCGGTCCCACCCCACGGGATTAGCGGGCAATTCAAGGTCATGGGGAAGGTAAAGGTGGCCACCAGAAGCCCTGCAGTAAATAAGACTTTTCATCCTTTCTTCCCAATCTTTGGTGGAGAAAACCAGTGGGGTGCATGTGAAATAAATAGAAAGGAAGGTGAGGCCTTCTTTTGGGACAGCGGCCGGGCCTGCAGTCAGGCACTTCCCTTTGGCCTCCCTGGCGCCTCTGGGTGTAGATCCAAAATGGCGAGCTTAGATGGAGGACTGATCAATCCGCTTGTTCCCAATCACCGACATTCCAGAATAAAAGGAAGCAACTGCAGCCTTCATGTGGAGTGGCTTTCTACTCCCCCAAGTGCTGAGTGAGGTCTTTCCCAGCAGCCATCACATGGGCTGCTATGGGCTGAACTGTGTCAAAATTCATATACTGAGGCCCTGAACCCCAGGACCTCAGAATGTGACTACATTTGGTGATGGGGTCTTTAAAGAGGTAATTAAGGTAAAATGACTGGCATCCTTATCAGAGAGGTCAGGACAGAGACATGCACAGAGGGACAGCCACGTGAGGCCAAAGGTAGATGGCCACCTACTGCCAAGGAGACAGGCCACAAGTGGGGACAGCCCCCCACACAGCTGGATCTCAGGCCTCCAGCCCCCAGGACTGGGAGAGAGTGAATGCACGGTCTGAGGCACCCCATCTGTGGCACCTGTCACACGGCACGAGTTCATCAGTGAAGTGCCATGAAACATGGGGAGCTTCCAACAGGAAGAAGGGAGCAGGCCGAAGCCCTGGGAGAACGATGAACCCACCGGGAAGGGACAGACTCCGACCCAGAGAGCTCCGGACCGGAGGCCAGCCTGCACAGAGGTTCACATCCCGGTGAACTAGGTGGACGGAATGGGACCGGACAGGATGGGATTGTAAGGGGTAGGGGACAGCAAGCAGTCAACAATGGCCCTGAGCAGCCAGGGCATCCGTCAGCTGAAAGAAGTGAAACCCGTGAGCAAAGCCACTCTGGGGTTGGTCAGTTCAGCCGCCGGAGGGGGTCACCAGGGCCAGGATCCTGCTCAGCTCTGCCTGCCCAGGCGGGGATTCATCCACAGCCAGGTTGCAAGTTGCCTGTAGTAATTCCAAGCATCCCCATGAAACAACTTCTAGAAGAGGCGTCATCTCCTGTTTCAGGAGTGATGTACCCTTTCCCAGAAGCCCCCAGAACATGTCTACTACCATTTAATCAGCCGGAAAAGGAACTATGCTCATCCCTGGACCAATCGCTGCCAGTGGCATCTCTGGGGACAGGGAGGGGTGACTGTTAGGTGGGCTGTCTGTGCTGTAACCAAGGAGGTCTGTCTGGGGCAACGAAGGGTTCCTGGAAACCGGGTCTGGTCCTCCAAGAAGGAGCGAGGCAGGTACAGGCCAAGTCCACTGGGGCGGCCTGGCCCTGCCTGACGGGGGGCTGCGGCTGCCTGCAGCTCACGCTGACACCTGGTGCGTTATGGGTGAGGAGGCGCCAGCGAGCAAGTCACTCTGGAGCAGGGGAAACACAAGGGCAGCTGCTGACAGGCAGTCTCCCGAACATCACGGCACCCCTCCCTCACAGTGACCATTTCTACACGTGTTAATGGAACACGTGGGTGGAGTCACATCCCGTGCTGCGCCATGCCGACAGGACGCAGCCTGCCTCCGCTCCTAGATCCCAAATACCCTGGAGAAAGGAACGAATTGGTTGGCTGTGGCATTATAAACAGTCCCAGAAAGACCTGCTTTAAAACATGCTGTTTATTTTTTTGTCCAGTTGTTAAGATAATACATTATCAAAACAGGTAACTTAGAAAACACAAAATCCCCCAAGAAAAACAACAGAAGTCCCTGCCCGCCACCCAGGATAATGCTACTGGCCTCTGTGGCTCTAGGGAGCAGCTGGAACAAGGGCACTGTGAGAGGCGGCGCACCCAGAACTCAGGTGGGGCGGCAGGTGCAGAACACACACAGCAACCCTGTGAGCAGTGCCCAGGCCCCAGCCAGAGTCCTGTCCTCCAACAAACAAAAACCATTCCTCCCTCCCTCGGCATTTCTGAAAGGCACCAAATGAGGGGGACACGCGCCCACCCCTTCCCCGGCCAACCGCCCGAAGGCTTGCAAACCGCCAGCCCGGGCACTGCAGCACTACTTGGAATGATTTTAAAAATGCACTCATGGAGCGGATTCCTGGCCACCCCTTTGCTGCTCTCACTGTGGGCTGTTCCCTCCGCCAGGCGCAGCTGGGGACAGTCAGTGTGCCAAGGGGGACATGAGCACCCCGAGGACGCGTTCCTGAGGGTGTAGACACATGCAGTCACGTATACATGGCAGAGAAGCGCCAACAGCCACGGACGGAACAATTGCCCCTCTGAGCTGTGCCTCGCCGGGGAGATGTGGTGCCTCCAAAATGCAGCGGGAGACAAATCACGTGAGAGGGGAGAAAGCAGGTTCCTCACGGTCAAGCTCCAAAAGGTTCCACATATACAATGTAGCCTATCATTCTGTCTTTAGCTAAAAGTGTTTCCCCTGGGCCACTGCTCCCCGCAGATGCTGCGATGCCCCACCCCCAGATGGAGTTAGTGCCAAGCGCACGTCCAGGCTCTCTCAGCGCACGGCAGCCTCTCACTCTCAGCCAGATGCCTGCATCACTGGCCACAGCACACTGTCCCGGGCCCCACAGGTGGGGCTGGGCCCTCTGCACCGGAAGGCAGGAACCCCAGGTCTGCGGTGTGAGCACATGTCCCAGAGCAGGCAGCACCTGACAGTGACAAGACGCACGGGGGCCAGAGTCCTGTGTGTGGCCGGGTGCCCTGACCTGGGCAGCCCCCAAGGTGCCTCATCGGTACAGTGAGACCTTACAGGCTGATATAAGACACAGGAAGCATGCCACACACCCCGGCATATCTGAAGGGCCGATAAATGCTACGGTACCTGCACTCCGCCTGGTAAATGAGCTCATTAATCCGGTTGCTTCATTTTTCAAAATGCTGTGCCTCTGCGGGCTGTGTCCAGGCTCAGGGTAACCTGTCCAAAGCCAACCCCGGTCTGGAACCGGCCAGGCCTGCCCAGCTGGAGGGGACCAGAGCAAGTGGCCTTGCGCGGGCTCTGCCAGGGCCCCAGGCTGCAGAGCAGACAGGCCGACAAAGGACAGGCCTGTGGGGGCCCCGTGGGAGCACTCGGGCGACGAGGGCAGACCCCAGGGGAAGGAAGCCCTTTCACCAGCCGCACAGGAGCCGTCCCCACACAACAATGAATACCCCATCACTGTTTTGCCTTTAATCACGCTTTTAAACACTTAACATATGGACATCTGTTCCTTGATGTCTCGTCTTTGTTCATCTGTCATCCTCAAAATGAAAGTCCAGAACCTTCCGCACTAATTCTAAAGTCCGGCTGAACATTTAGTAATGAACAAAGCTGAAAACACAAAAGAAAAAAGACGGTTTTAAAAAATCTCGTGTACTTTCACTCACAAATCAGAACAGGACTCCATCTCCAGCCACAGCTTTCTCGGCACCGCCGACCCTCAAAGTCCTGACATCTGCTCTCTAGGCTCTCCTCAGCTCAGGCACCAAGACACAGAACCTGATTCGCCTCTCCTGCCCGCTCACAAGGCACTTGCAGCCCCAGGCCATTGTGCCGTGAGCCCCCAGGGCCTGCACCCCGGCTCCGGTGGAGAAAGCAGGCCTGCCAAAAAGCAGCAGAGGACAAACCTGTTTGAATTTTCCTCTGATCTTGTCTAAGTCTTCATGAAGTTTATCATAAGTAGGGTCATCATAAGGGAATTTCTGAATCATCCCAATCAACGATTCTAAGACCTTCATCTTTTTGCTGTAAAGCACAGAAATAAAGACTTTTAGTCCTATGTACACAACAGGCTCAGCTTATGAAACAACCGTGCCGATCACTTACTTAATAGCAACGGGCATGCTAAGCATGTCTGCGTTCAGAAGCTGGATGACTCACTTTCTCGTTACACTAAATAATATTTATTTACCTAGCAACGTGCTCATGCCCACACCCAACGCCTCGCCATCAGGTGTACGGAGCTTCAATTTGCCCAGGTCCCAGCTGGACCGCAGGGGGTGAGGCAGCCCGTTACAAGAACACCGAGCACCACTTCTCTTGGTCAGACACGGGGACAGATGCAACTAGACACAAGAGATGGTGCTGGGCACAAGCGAGCCCGTGCTGGACCGGGAGGGTCTCCAAGGGCCTAGGAACTCACGCTCACAGCCTGTGGGGGGTTCAGTGGCAGGTAAACCAGCAAGCCCCCTCCCTCCAGAGGGCAGAAATAAGCATATGGTCTTTGAGCTCAGTCCTCTTTCCCAGGAAGACAGAGCGCTGCTGGCAGGATGGCCCTGGGAAAGGCGGCCTTGGGTACGGCCACTCTCAGGTACTTGTCACTTGGCTCCTCTGAGCCGCGGGCTCTCTCTGTGACCTGGGGAGAGCACAGCGACCTCACAAGCTTCTAGGAGGATTGATAATCTACATAAAGCCCAGGATCTAGTACAGAGTAGGTACTCGATAAATGTTCGTCTCCTCACTTCCACTGGATCCTGGAGGCCAGGGCTTTCCTGGGGAGGGGTACAAGTCATACATGTGCACATCTGGGTAAATACAAAGATCCCGACAAGTGCCCTCCCCTAGACCACATATACTACACATTTAATTAGTGGGAATTTTAAAGAACTTATCCTTAGGATGAAGGATCAACAGCCATGCACAGTGGCCAAGACCTACCTGTTAATATTTGTTGTTTTTAGGAACACATGTGAGTGAAGTGTGCCAACGGCAAGTCAGTTTACAAGAACTATGACGGCTACCCCTCTGAGAAAATACAAAACTGTCAAAGGTCACAGCAACTTAATTAAAGCAACAAAGGACTCGGTTTCCAGGGAGATGGAAGGCAGATACCAACATGTGGGAAATAGCTGGATTCTAACGTAAGAATACCACCTATTTTCAACTCTGCAAGTAACAACTCATTCTTCTCTGGTCAGTGAAGCTACTCCAAGCACACCCAGCCCAGCACACTGTCAAAGCCAGTGCCTGTGAGGAGGGTGTGAACGGTTCAGAGCTGATGTTAACACAAGTGCCGACGCCGGAGCCCCGGAGCTCGGGCCTGGTCAAGTGATGGCTGGCATAAAGCTTCAGCAAGCTGCCAAGTGGGGAACACCAGCACGGCAGCGCTCCTCAAAAAGCTACCGTCCCCTGCCACAAGGCCCCCGCTTCAGGCGGGGTGGGGGGGTGCTCTCTGCCATGTCTCTGGTATGAAAAGCCCTTATTTACAAACTGCCTTTGCAAGTGGTAGGTGCTGCTTTCTTTACACCTCATTTGGGACACAAAGAAGCAGGGAACCCTCATCAGCCTTCTATCTTCTTTTAAAAACTGTGCTGACATAAAATCCCAAACCTGTAAGCCACTACTGTAAGATACAGAACTTTGGGCTGTGTTCCACAGAGACCCTCAGGCGCTGCCAGAGGGGTGGGGGTGGCAGCCAGCCCCAGGCCAACCAGCTGCTCCTCCTCCGAGACACACAGGTCACACGCTTTAAGAAGCTAAGAAAGTCCTGCCTGGGGCCCAGGCTGGCAGCCCGGGGTGCAGGCGGCCCAGCCCAAGCTCAGCGCTCCTCCACGAGGGGCTGGGGAGAAGGGGGCTGACTACACTCCAGGAGCAGCCTCCCTCATCCTTCGACTGGAGCAGAGCCAAGCTCGGCTTCGACTGCCACCCAGTGGCCCTAGAAGCTACCAAACACTATTCCAACCAGATCCCCAGTCACCCTGCCACCCCCACAGTCCTCAGGAGTCCCCCCACGGTGCCCCTTGGCTAGCGTGTGAATCTGGTCAGCTCCCAGTGACTCATGTAAACAGAGTAGCCCAGTGACACAGACAAGTCAGACGATGCAGTCAGAATCACCCATACACGGCTGCAAGCACCCTTCTTCTATTAAAATATGGAGGCTCAAATTCTAGAAATTCAAAATGTATCAAACAGACAATGACTCACACAGACTGGGGGTCTGTCTGTGTGACATCTGTCACCCACTGTCTTTGCAGCTCTTCCAGGCTAGGCAAAGCCACCAAGCAACAAAATGACACAGAGCCACCAGCCAAAGCTGAGTTCAGGCTCCCAGAGGCAGCAGGACAGCAAACCAGGTGTGCCTTTCTCTTAAGGGCTCGTTTCCAGCTTGGGAATGAAGACAGAGGTGACAGGGCAGGGGCTTCGGTAGGCAGCACACAGTAAGAGCAGGTTTGAAAAGCTACAAATGCAAATAACGGCTAACGTCTACTTTAGTGCTTCCGAATACCAGACATAAATTGACTAAATTAAATACGTTTCCTCATTAACACACCTAGTTAGCTACATTAAAAAACTGGTAACAACTGCAGTCACCATTTCTGAGCCATTCCAAGACTACCGTACACTGTTCATGAGCAGCTCAGGAGAAAGATGAACATGAACAGGTATGTGGCAGGGCATCCAAAGGCCACTTAGGGTGCTGAGGCCTCTAGAGGACAGGCAGGGGACCGGGGAGCTCTCGAGGAGTGATGACCAGTGCCCAGCAACACCGAACCCGAGCAGGCACTGTTAACTGTGTCCTGTGCATCGCATAACGACACTCAAGTGTGGCCTGGGCACTTTCTCAATTTCACCTACAAAAACATTGAGACCTTAATGGCACAAGGTCCACAGGCAGCTACGGAATCAGCACTCCTGGTCCAGACACAGAGAAAGAAAAAAGCCTCAGACGTTACCTGTCTTTCTCCGTGGCACAGCTGTGCAGGAGACATCGCCACGCAAAAGCAAAGCCTCGGTAGCACCCGATCTGTGAATTTACCGAACAAATTAAGAGTGAGATTAATAAGCAACTAGTCATACTTGATCTAATTCTCAAACTCTCAAGACAAAAAAAGGTGGGGGCAGCAGGACCGCTCACGCTGCTGCTCTGGGGGTGCCTGGTGGGCACCAGCCAGCAGGGGTCAGCTCAGGTCAAGAGTGGGAAGCCAGACACCGACATGTGGGATACCAAGGTGGTCTGGCTGACACCTCCCTAGTGCCCATGCCCTTGTGCAGTCGGCTCCGACTTTATCAGGGCGGCCTGGGTAGCAGCAGAACGCTGAGGAAGAGACAGCTCATGACATCTGAACTTAGGCACAACAGACGGCATCACTTCTGCCCTGCTGTCTTGAGTCACTTGCTCACAGCCCCAAGAAGGTCCACAGGGCAAGAGCAACACTGGGTGGGCACACCATCTTAGACAAGGCTCATCCAGCCCTGGCCAAGCCTCAAATGACCGCGGCCCCGGCTGACACCTTGACTCCGACGTCATGAGGCCCAGAGCAACAGCCACACAGCTCAACTGCCTCTAGACTCCTGACCTCAGAACCTGCGCGATTCAAGCCCATAGGTTTGTTTTAGGGCGATTTGTTTTACAGCAACACATTATCTAAGAGCATCATGACTGCCTCAAACTCTGCCATTCAGGGCCAGTCATTCTTGAGGGCCACTCTAGGACAAAGGGCACAACAGAATGAAAATTACGGATTTTATGGAATTTTAATGCAAATGTAAAGGGAGTATTTTCCCATGATACAAGGCACCCATTCTTCTTAAGACAGGAGGAGCATGGTGGCGCCCTGATGTAACCTGAGGCGACCAAGGACTCATTTTCTCATTCCAGCCTACACAGTGCCACCATCTCTACGGCAACATGCTCTGCCCGATCTCGACTAAGAATATTTCTCCACCCACCTTCTACTAGTCTATCGCCGGTTTAAGAAGCCTGAAATTATGGCTCAATCATACTGATCGTCAAAATAAATTACACACTATAAATGAAAAGGAAGGACTCATTTCTAACCAGGAGTGCCCGCTTACCTCGGATCCAATTTTAGCTCCATGGAGGGTGCCGTACTGTCTTCCTTCAATGATCCCCAAACTGCTGCCTTCTTCATAGCCTTCCTGATAGCCTTCCCCGTGAAACCTGTGACAGACGAGAAGCAAGCTGGATCAAACAAACGCAACAGTATTTTTCCTGGAAAAACTCTGCTCTCCTATATTACCCAGACCCGGCAGGACAAGGCACCGTGTAAGCAGAAAAAGTACAGAATTTAAGTCGGAAAACCTAGGTTCCAATCCCAGCTCTTCCCCTTCCGACGTCTCTCCTCTGGCAAGCGGCTGTCCTCCTGAAGCCTAGTTTCCCTCTTCTACAATGAGGAGGCGGAGATCAATTAGTGATTCGCAAACGTGGTAGAATATCAGAAATACACAGGAACAATTTAAAGTTGCCAATTCAAAAGCCTTGCCCCCTGATGTCCAGCACGTCTAGAGTTCGGCCCCAGAAATGTACTTTTCAAAACCTCCTAGGTGATTCTAGTCTTTGCAAGCAAGTTAGCAAGCCCAAGTTCTGTGAGGCTGTAAGCCCTACTACTACGTCAATTACTTCAAAAACTGCAATATATGCAGGACTTCCCATCACATCTCAATGAAACAGCAGAGAGAGATGCTGTCAGATCACCACAACATGTACCATGAATGCAGTGCCTGGGGGATAATAACGGCTCTGACCTTTTTAAGGGCTCAGGGGTGGAACTGGCACCATCTTAACCCCAGGCACCAAAGAGGAAAGGAGTGAGTCTGTGGGTGCCCCCAGTGAGGCAGTGCATCACCCCTATTTACGGGTTGTGGGACCCTGGGGAGTAACCCTGCCCCCTCATCTGCAAAACAGGGTGAGTGACAGGACCTACTTCACAAGTAGGGCTGAAGCAGATATTGGGGCTACAACACAGCTCAGCCCTGGATTCACAGTAAGCTCTAAATAAACGTCAGCGAGTGATTGTTAAATGTTCACTTTCTCAAATGACATCCGTTGGGTCTCAAGGGGGCCGGGCCCTGGAAGACAGCCACAGAGCAAATCACAGCGCCGCACTGTCCCGGCGCGACGCGCTCCCAGGGGCTCGGGAGGGGGAGGGACGGCGCCGCACACGTTTATCGGCAGGCCTGTGAATGCCGCCGTCTGTCCCACCGCCAAGGAACACGACCAGATGGCAAAGGTCTGTCCTGGCCGCGGACGGGGCTCCCGGGAGGCCGGCGGCCACCAGGCCGAGCATCTGCTCGGGGCGGCCCGGGCGGGGCGGCGGGCCTGAGGGCGGCGGGCACGGGGCGCCCGCCCGGGGTGCAGATCTCCGCCCCACACGTGCCGCTGCCTTCGGAGCCACCAGCCGCCCTCCGACGCACTCGCCCGGGGCGACGCCAGACCCGAGCTGCCCCCGGGGCCCGCCCCGCCACCCACCTCTCATCCGCCATCAGGATGGCGTCGAACATGTCCTGCCCGCCGGCCATGGCTGCAGCCGGCCCGCACCTGCCCTCGGGGCTGGGACGCCGCCAGCCCGCGCGGCAGGGGCACCGCGGCGCCGCTTCCGAGGAGACCGGGTCCGCTTCCGGAGGAGCCGCGCGGGGCAGGCCGGGTAAGGACGGCGCGCGGGAAGGCCCAGCAGGCGCCGCGCGGGGCTGGTGCGCGTGCGCGGCGGTGGCGGCGGGCGCCTCCTCTCCGCTGGCTCCGGGTCGGTGCCCCGGGACCGTGCCCTGGCCGCGGAGCGCGGGTGCAGCCCGCACAGAACCAGGCAGCTGGAGCCCAAGCGCCACAGCCAGCTCGGGAAGAACCGGGGGAGAAACTGGAGCCTCCGCGGCCCCGGGACAGCAGCCTGTGCCCGCGGCCTTCGGGCGGAAGGCCGAGAGGGGCGATCCCGGGTGCAGGCAAGACCCCGAGAAGGGGGCGTCTGCCCGCGGCCCCCAGGACGCCGGTCCCTTTCAGAGCCGGTTTCAGACGCCCCCAGGCCCCCCGAGCCGTGACCGAGCGGGGCAGCTGGCGGGGAAGCAGCCCCGGGGTGCGGAGGGTCGCTGGGAAGGCGGTGACAGGGGTGGGCGTCCGCTCTTGACATTTACGAGTTACTTGAAAACAACTAAAAATAAATGTCTCCGTGTATGTTTTTTTGCTGCTTTTGCACACGCAGAGACTGCAGAATCAGATAACTACAGAAGAGTTTGTAATTCAGAGCAACCTGCGTCCCCACGCTCCCAGCCTTATTATTAAATAGCTCCTGTTTTGGTCCTCCCACGTGTCATTTTCATGAGGGGCACTTTATCAACACGATTTTTAAATGTACTGAAAACATTCAGTGACAACAGAACATTAAGATGAAGTATTTCAGAAGCATTCCCATTAAAAATTAAGAGGAAAAGAAGAATGCCTTTCTCACGTGCCCGTTGAACATTCTTCGTGAGGGCCTAGCCAAGTCCCCAAACCGGAGGAGCAGGGGAGTCACCGAAAAGACACGCCATCATTTGTCATTGTGATGACTCATCTACAAACCCCAGAATATGCATTTAAGACACTCAGAATTTCTAATAGAGTTCAGCAAATAGCTACATATGTGGCGAATAGAAAAAATAAAAACGTTCGCTTTCTGTTACACTAACAATTCACAGTAGCCTGAATAGGGATAATTGGAGAAATCCACTTTAGGACAGTCACAATAAATTCCTTAGGAGTAACAAGATTTGAGCAAGACCTACATGAAAACAGTTATACCACCAGCCTGGATGAAAACAAATGCAGTATCAGAATTCATGTGATAGGGGTAAATGTGCCAAATATCTGAAGGTCATCTGGATCCCTAAGTTGAATGACTCAGACGTTTTTGAAAAAGAGAGTGACATGGGGAACTTGCTATACCAGATCTGAAAAGATAAAAGTCTCCAATAAAATATTGTAGCGTGTTGGTTCAAGAATAGACAAATGAATGAATGAAATAGAGTAAATTGGCCCAGAAGGGGACTCTAGTAAACCTTTTCACATGATAAAAAGAAGTACCACAAATAAATGGGAAAGAGAATATTAGCCATTATAATGGAAAAATATTAGAAAAGGTCTTAGAAAAGTCAAGTTCCATTTACATCTCACACCATTATCAATATAGTCACAGATGAACTAAAGGCAAGTTTAAAAAAAAAACATTTAAAAATCTAGATGGAACATTCAGGTAAGTAGGGAGATATATTTCCAGCACATGAAAAGCCACGGAGGAAATCACAAAGGGAAAACCAATATATTTTACTATGTGAAAATGCAAACTTGTGCATGCCAAAAGCAATAAACAAAAGTCAAAGAACAATCTGGGGATGTATTATATATACAAGGAGATGCATTTTTTTACCTTTCAAAATAGTAAAAAAAAAATTTCTACTTAGAATGAAAAGATACTATCATCACCTATGAATACATAAATTACCACTACCTTTTGGTCAGGCAGTTTAGAAAGACAGGAAGAGTGTTTTAAGTGTTTTTACCATTTGACCTAGTAATTTCACTTCTAGAACTTCAATCCCAAGGAAATAGTCAGAGAAAGGTGGCAGTGTTTTGTAGAATGATGTTCATTTAGAATGACAAAATTATGGCGTGATGGCACCCATCTCATGCCCTAGTCACACTAAAGACTCTCAGAGAACGATCAGAAATAATATTTGAAACAAAAGTAATATGGAAAGTGCTCATGATGTTTCAGGAAAAAGAAAAAAAAAACTATACTCCAATTCCAATTACATTAAACGAGTAACACTTCTCAAAAGAATTAAAATAAGTACACCAAAATGTTACTGGTAATTATATCTAGATTTTAGAATTATAGTAGTTTTTACATTTCCTCTTTAATATTTTTTCTGAGTATTCCATTTTCAGAATCTACATGAGTTACTTTCATAAGCATAAAAAAGCCAATAAAAATATTTTTGAAAGATGAAATTAAATAGGCTTGGTAATGTTCTTTGAATATATTTTCATCTTTAAGGTTTTTTTTCTTCATGAGCAAATGAAATCACAAGACATTTGGAATGTAGATAAAGGGGCAAAACGAACAACAAACCAATACCCACTTTCCCACCACCCTGGCCACTGATTAATTTTTTCTAATTTTGTTATATTTTTTCCTTTGAATTTTCACATGAAAATAATCTTCATATATATACAATTTCATATCTTTTTCTACCCACTTCACATTATATTACAAGCATGCCCCACCCAATAAGGGAATGGTTCTCTTATTATGTATAAGCATATACCTTATCAGCTGAAAGAAAATAAAGTAAGCTATATCTTTTGGCATAGGAAATCAGATCTGTAGGGAGAAAAGAAAGAGACCAGTTACAAGATAAAACCTGACGATATGATCAATCTGCAAGAATCCACCATATTAATAAATAAAACACACTTTAAGAAAGAGAAATATTTCCCATATGCTTGTTCAAGTTCAAAGGAAACCAAGTTGCTGTATCTGAAGTGAAAACAAAATTCATCAAAGTTTATTGAAAAGTGTTCACTTATCAGAATTTGGTCTTTAAAAATGTTCATATGTCTGCAGCAAAACCCTTGGCAGCCTCCAAAATGAAGCAAGCTATTTCCACGGGGAAACCGAACCTGATAGACCCAAAGTTGTTAACCTGGAAATACATCCATTTTATTAGGACAAAAAGGGTAAGTTAAGAGCAAAATGTGCCATTCGTTCCTATCGTGGTTAAAGAAGAAAACCATAAGCATATTAACTGGCTGTGTTAGATGTTTAAAAACTATCTGGAGGATAGGGGTCCTGTCCTGCTGCAGATCGACTCTATGCACGTCCTGCAGAGTCACTGTGCTGTCTCGGGTGATGGACTGATGAGACCGTGAGTGATGTATCTGTATTTTGTCCTTGATGTGTATTTGTGTTTGATTTTTATTTTTTAAATCATGAAGCAAAGATGCCTTAATAATCACAAAAGGGAAAAAAAAGGAAGCGATTTTAAAAAGGAAGTTATTAAATAACAATTCACAGGAAATAAGCCTTCCTCTCGTTTTATAGTCGTCCTAAATAGGTGAAAACACCATTGGGAAAGGAGGTTATTTTTCGGGCTTCAAATCCCGTTGACCCGTTGGGGCAGCGGGGTGGACAATCCAAGGGTTCGGCCTCCTGCAGGCTTTCTGGCTGATTGCCCTCTGCTCCTTCCTCAAAGGAGGTGCCCCGGGAGCCTGCGTGGAAGGGTTCCTTTCTACCTTCTGCCTCTGAGTCTGCGAATCCCCAGCAGCCACAAGGCAGGAGTCCTAGGCTGGGGTGGGGTCCAGTGCTGTGACTGGTGACCAAGAGCCGAGCTCCTCTGGGCGCCTACGCCTTACAGAAAGGCCCTGGCGAGCAGGGCTCAGCCTCCGTCCTGCAGCAGGACCCCTGGCTGAATGGCATAGGCCTGGCACCTGGGGCAAGCCACAGAACCCCAGCTCCTCAGCTCCGAACCGGGACCCGCAGGCAGGAGAACGGGTGCCGATTTCCTTTGCAAGGACAGTCCGGGCAGTAGGTCCCCACCAGCATTCCTTACACCCTGGCTAATCTCAGGGCAGCCACATGCTATAGAGAAGCAGAAGATCTGAGGAAAAGGGCACAAAGAGCGGCTGGACGCCCGCGAGGAGACTTACTCTCTGCCCTGGACCTTTCAGCTCTCCGGCCAGCCAGGCGAGGCGGTAATGTGGTGACCGGCCCACCCTGGCTGGCTGTTCGGGGGCTTGACCCAGCAAGGGTCCTTTCCCACGGACCAGAGTCCGGTACAAGCCCAGCAGTTGTTTCTCCGAACTGAGATCCTCACAGTAAATAAAGGTTTAAAAGAAAATATGAGCTTTTGCGTATCACCAGATGCCAAGATCACAGAGCTTTCTTTGCAGAATCAGTACAGAGAAGATGCTCAGTTAAGTGGCTGTTGAGTGAATAAGTGAAAGAGCACAGGCAGCCAGGGGCTGAAGAGGCCTCACCTGGGCCTTGGGAGGGAGGGCCAAGGCCACAATGACTGCACTGGCCATCATCTTTGACCACAGCCTGGGAGGTCATCTCACAGTGAGGATGAGCAGGAAAGGGTTTCATTCCAGAGCTCAGAGCGCTTTTACCAAAACTGGACCCAGCCCCTCAGAGCCGGGTGTACTTCCGTGTGCGCTGCTGGGGACGCAGAGGTCCAGAACAAGCAGGCTGACCCAGGCCTGGCGTGGCTTCCCACTGTGGCGTGCGCAGAGCGGGCAGTCCTGCCCGGGCGGCACAGTGGGTGAGGGCAGAGCCCAGCTCTGCTCTCTCCCCACCTACTGTCCCTCGGGGTGGGTGGGTAGGACTCACGGACACCCACTACAGAGGCTCTAGACGGCCCTCCACGTGGTCGACACCCCTTCCTTCCTTTGGAGGCGCCGCCGCTCTGGGCTTCAGTGTCTGCCCTCCCTGGGCTATGGCCGCCTCTGGCCCTCCGATCCCTCCCAGGCTCTTCTCTGCCTGCATCCCTCCCCCATTGCTTCCCAGCCTGGGGGAGCTCCCCGCCGGGTGGAGGAGAAATTCCTGCTTTACATTTCCTCCTCCTGCCTGATCCCCCCTGCCCAGCTGGAGGCCGACACCCAAAAGCAAGGCCCCCTGACCCCTG